GGGCTTCAGATTCTGGCCCGACGGCCCGTCGCCGAGTCCTCCTGAATCGCATTTACAAAACAAATGAAGTAGCAGGGCGGTGGTTCTGGTCCAATTCTTGTGCAGCAGAACCTCTGACACATGATCATGTTCCTGACAGAGAGGACAACAGCAGAACCCGACAGCAGCTCAGCTCACTAAGTTCTGTGGAGGGACCAGAACCTCCAATATGTTCCAGAACCCAAAACCTCTTCTAACCCGGTTCTGGCCCAGATCAGAGAACAGAACCTGAAGCATCTCCCAAAGGATGACAGATCAGTGAGCAGCAAGCACCAGAACCAAAAGGTTCTGGACTAGAACTGAAATCAATAGATCTGTCATGTTTTCCATGCTCTTTTGGTTCTGGTTTCCTGGACCAGAACCAGGAACAGCTGTAAGATAATTGGAAGTTTTTAACATTGTTCCGAACAGAACCTCTGGAATCATATGGATCAGCTGGACCCAGAACCATGAACAGAACCAGTCTGGACCTGCTGCTTGGTTCCCTGAAGGTGAACTTTAGCAGAGATTCGGCACTTTGACCCAAACCAGCAGAACCAGACCCAGACCGCCTGCCTCAGTCCGGTTCTTCAGAACCGGAACCAGATGAGGCCTCTGATGGACACAAACTGAACCTTTAAATCTCCACTTCCTGTTTACTGGGTTAGAACCCGTTCATGACAGTCGAACCAGCACAGATCCAGCCGGTCCGCTGCGGGGCTCAGACAGAACCAGCACATTCGGTCCAAACTAAGGGAAACGTTGAACGGAACCATTTCGGTCCAAACAAACAAATAACGGAACTGTCTGTCAAATCAGAGTTCTGGTCCAATCCGCCCACCTGCGATCACGCTGCAGACCCGCGTACCACCGCACGAACCGAACCTTCTGTAGTCCCAGTAACGGACTGGTTCGGACTGCTGTCCGGACCGACGCTGGACCGGCTAACCCCACCCCGCTGGGCTAAATGTCCACAGGGAAAACAGAACCGAACCGGGCCCCGGCGGTTCTTTGGGCTAAGGTTCGGGTGCCAAACTCCAAACTTAAACTATTACCCCCCTCAGCCCCGCAGGCCCAGCTTCCTCTCCCAGAACCAGCAGAACGGCAGCAGCCGTTAGCCCAGCCCGCAGAGCCACGGCTAGCAGCAGCTAACAGCGGTTAGCAGCCTACCTGGTCCCCGCCTTGTCCCCCATCTCCTCGGCAGGCGGACGGCAGCAGATCCCGAATAAATGAGTCCTGAGCCGACGGTGTGCTGCTGGTTCTGAGGCGGAGTAGGTTCGGTCCGGGAGGCTCCGTTCAGCCGTCCATCCACCCAGAACTGGTTGGTATGCTAATGGGGTTTAGCGCCGCCTCGGTTCCTCCGAGCTTCCGCAACGGCTGAGTGTGTGTGTGTGTGAGAGCGGGGTTTGCTGTGTCTGTGAGGACCGATGCGCGCCGCTAAAAGCGCAGCAGCGAGGACTCCGGGGTCAGAGCACGCAGTTTCATTCCTGCTGAGGGTTCGGTGGCCGAGAGTCGGTCCGGATGAGGAGGAGAACCCAGAGAGAGGAGGAGAAGGAGGAGGAGGAGGAGGAATGAGGAGCATCTAATCTGTGTGTGTGTGTGTGTGTGTGTGTGAGTGTGTGTGTGCAGCCTGCGCAGATTGCGCAACTTCAGGTCCTCCACATCATGTGAATATTCAACAGATGATTCATCTGAGAGGAACTGGGCCAAGACCCGAACCCGAACCGGGGGCCACCGTGCCGATAACATTAAAATAATCAATTAAGAATTTTTTTTTTAATGACATTTATTAATTATCTAAATAAAATTAATTTATTTCTGCTTTCAAACTGATCTAAAGAAAACAGAATATGTGTTTTCTGCTCTTTTCCGGGCTGTCTCTGACTTGTGTGTTAGGATTTGGAACCGGTTCGGTCCCGTCCGTTTGTCTGTCCAGCTGATGGGATGTGTTCTGATCCAGAACAGCTGAGAGCAGCACTTCTCCATCCGTCGGTCCATTTCCTGCTGCTTATCTGACGGGTCAGGCTGGAACCCGGAAGTCCGGCCCGATGGGTCTGGATGGGTCCAGAAGTGCTGAGCAGAAAAAAACAACAAACACGAGAGGAGCACAGTGAGCTGGGACAGGCCGGGTCAGATGGACGGTGTCCAGAACCTTTAGAACCTCATCTCCAGCTCTTTGGTTCTGGTCCTGGAAGCTTCTGAGGGGGCGTGGCCACCTGAACCAGAAGCCCTGAGCTCCAGCAGAACCTCTGACCCAGAACAGCGTCACCCTCCTGGTTCTGACCTCTAAGTTCTTCCTGCCTGTGTTCTCCAGAAGAACCTGCTCCTCATTCTGCAAATGTTCCAGCGGCTCTACTGGACCGCTGGCCTGACGGGTCAGAACCACCACATGCAGGCAGGAAGGATGAACCTGAACCAATGAATCCTCCAGAACTTCTGCTGGACTCGGTCCAATAAGAAGTAAAACGGTCCAAACCAGCGCTCCCAGTACAGAACCGGCCCCTCTGTCAGAAACGGATGTCTTTGTCCAGACGGGTCAGAGATGGACCTCCATCCCAGAAGCTGCTGGTTCCTTTGGACCTTTTCATGACCCAGAACCAAACTGGGCCTTTTTTCTGGAATCAGCATGGTCCTGTGAGGAACAAGGTGTCGCTGAATGCTTCCAGGACCCGCTTGGACCCGTCTCAGGGGTTCTGAAGCTCTTAAAGTGGTGAAGATCAGCAGAACCTCAAACTGCTGTGAAGGAGTTCTGGTTCTGGTCCAATCTCCTTTACAACCTGGCTTCAGTAATGGAGTTCTGGCTCAGATTTCTGGTTCAGGTCCAGCATGGCGTCAGTGAACCTTAGCCTCATATGACCCGGTTTGGACCGGGCTTCAGCTGCGGTTCTATGATACCTTGGTACAGAGGTCGGGTCCAATTAGACACCCGGTTCTGTGGCTTTGGAACCAGGCAAGATAATCAGTACATTTGGTTCTAGTACTCCAGAGGTTCTGAACCAACAGAACCATAGGTTTGGACCCGTCCTCTACGACTGAGTTAAACACACCACAGAACCTCTAGAGATGGTGGTTATCACTCCAGAACCTTTTTAAAGGACGGGTCAAAGCTGACAGAACACACTACTAGAACCCTAAAGGTCTCCTCAGACCCAGTTCTGTAAGGAGATTGATGGTGGAACCCAGTCTGGGTCCAAAAGGTCAGTTTCCTCTGGTTCTGCCCACCCCACCCACTCCAGAACCAGAGGAGGTTACAGCCGGTTCTGGAACAATCCTCTGATCCAGAACACGCTGCTCAGCAGAATCATGTTGTGAAATCAGACCATAAAGAGGCGCTGCAGTCGGGCCTTTAAAACAGGACACACCTCAGAACCGGGCCGTCCAAACTGTTTCCATCAGGAAGTCCAGAGCCGACCCGGCTGCTGTCCCTGTCAGCCTCGTCCACTTCCTGCGGCTGTTTTGGATCAGCGCCGCCAACCTTCCTGTGGGAACTCAGAGGAAAAGATGAGCCCACAGAATCGGTCCGGGCTTTAACCGGGTCTAACCTTGGACGAACTGCATCGGCTCCACAGTCGCCCAGCTGCTGAATCATAGAGGGAAGTTCTAAAGGAGAAGTGGAACGGGTCAGGGAGCATGATCGGTCTGAATCAGCACAGAATCTCAGAATTCTCATTTTGAGGTTTCCTCTCGGTTCTGCAGATGAGACCATGACCTTTCTGGACTGAACCTGCTGATGCTCGCCGACGGTTCTGCTTCAAAGGATCCAGAATCTTTCTGGTCCATGTCCAGACGGCATATTCAGAGACCTCTTTAGAACGACCGGTAATTCAGGGACAACTGCAGACCACTGGAACCAACTGGAGAACAGAGATCTGAGCGTTACCATGGTAACAGTAGCTGTAATGCAGCGGTGCTCAAGTCCAGTCCTCAAGAGCTGCTATCCTGAAACTTTTTGATGCACCTCATTTTTAACACACTTGAGTCGGATGAGTGGCTCGTTACCTTGCCTCTGCTGGGCTAAATTAGGGGACTGAGCCTCTTGATTCAGGTGTGTTAGAGAAGAGATGCATCTAAAAGTTACAGGATGGTAGCTCTCGATGACTGGACTGGAGCGCCCCTGCTGTAGTGCCATAAGCCTGATTTATACTACCCTTTTGAAACTGTGCCAAGATCGGTCCAAACAGGGTAACCAAGATAACCATTGACTGTAAATGTCAGCTCATGATTTGCTTGTTTCCCTCTAGAGAGCAGTAGTACTGTAGATTGTCACTGGGAGGCGAGGAACCGTGCTAGCAGGCTCAGACTGGGAACGATTTTCGGCCCTCGCATTTTTCCATTGACATTGGCCCACTTATGTCCACACTCACCACATCAGCAGGGTTGCCAGATGTCACTGACTCACGTTTTCCAGCCCAAAAAATTTTCATGAACCGTCTGGATATACGAAATAAGAACCAAAGTCTATTGATGTCTTAGGCCATAAATCTAAAGAAAAATATTTTTACCCATAGACGGCCATCCTAAACTGCACCACAAAACCGATTGGGAAACAACCCAACCTGGCAACAATGCATGCAGACAAGATTGCATCTAAAGGAAACGTAAGCCTTTAGATGCAAAACCCCATCATGCACCGCAACATCTTTTTGCAAAATACTCTAACTTTAATTCAGCAAATATAAGAGGAACATCGTAGTTTGGTTTAAAGAAAGCATTTTAGTTTTATTATAATTTAGTCTGTTGCAAGGATTTTACAGTTTGAAGAAATAAATTACACCATATGCCAGCCGTCAGAAGGAGGTGCATGACAAGGCAGGGCTATATATACCGCATGCATCATCTAGGTAAGTAACGTCGTTTTACTTCTTGAGCTCCTTGAGTAATTTACTGTCACAGGTAGGAGCTTCATCCAGAGACTAAGTTTTGGGTCCTGTATGATTTAAGGAGGGCGGGCCCTCGCACTCTGAAATTAGGACCGGCATCACAGATTACCAGTCTGAGCCTGCGTGCTAGTGTGGTGTGCAAGTCGTGAGGAACCGAGGTCGGCACGGTTAACTGATCCAAACTAGGTCCCAACTCGGGGCGGGTCAGTTTTCAGAGTAGTGTAATTTGGGTTATAGAGAACTGAAGGTTCTACAATATGAGAACTGGATAGATTCCAGAACCCAGCATGAGGGTAGCTTTATTTTGAAGGTCTATATCCAGCTGCTTCGCCGCTGAAGGTTCTGGTTCTGAGGGTTCTCCTTCAGCCAGCAGGGTATTCATTTGTTCGGATTGTTTTGGACCTCTAGTTCTGAATAGGTGGACTGATTACCGCTGGTTCCGCAATCTGATGGACACAACAGAAACTAAACCTGGAGAAAAGTCACCTGGTCTGGTTCTGCTCAGGGTTGGTTCTAGTTCTGCTCAAGTCCAAAAACAACAAGCATCGGGTCTGGCTTGGTTCAACACAACTTTATTTACAGACGTAGTTCTGGTTGATCCCAGTTCAGATCCGGATGACGTAGGAGTCGGAGTGAGTGACGTATCGGACCCAGCGCTGCGGTGTGCCGGGCTGGACCGGAGTCAGGCGCAGGAAGCGGATCAGCAGTCCGGTGGCGGTCAGCTTGGGCAGCTCGAAGGTCAGAGCGACCGGACCGAGCTCTAACATGGAGGCCGAGCTCAGTGCCGGGACATCCAGCTGGGAAAAAGACACATGGGTCAGAACCAAAAGGGTAACACAGATGGATCTCTGCATGCACAGAACCAGAACTCATCAGGATCGGCAAACTGGAACCAGACTTTACCCTTGATGATTCTTAAATGTCGGCTTGTAGTTCTGCTCTATAAACTGGGCTGTAGTAGTTAGAACCTATTAAAGGGAACGGGTCAGCTCAGCAGGTCCAACTGAGACGGACCCAGGTTCTGGTTCTGAGCCTCCAAGTAACTTCATGTGAAGTTCTGAGTCAGAAAGAACTGAGACGAGGGGATGGCCGACCTGCTTTGGAGGACCCAGAAGACCCAGTTTTGCATGTCTCCAGAACGTCCGACCCGAAAGACAACTCAGCAGAAGAAGGACAGGACCGGGCATCCCTGTTCTAATGGACTGGATCTCAGTCCCACCAGAACACTGGAGCCTGACTGGCATAGAACCGGGTCTCTGAATGGTTCTGTCTGAGATGGTTTAGGTTCCTGTCCAGAACCTCTAACCACAGACCCCAGAGTAAAACATAGGTCGGATCCTTAATCTGGACTGGGCTGGTTATTTCCTCAACAGGTTCTGGTTCTGATCGTTGCAGGCAAAGAGAAAAGAACCCTGCTGACCTTGAACAGGGCGGAGAGCTGGGTTCCTCCAGAGAAACGCGGGATCCTCCAGACCACAGCTCGGTTCTGCTGCTGCAGCTCAGCGTTCTGATCCGGACTGCTCAACTCCTGGGACAGGCTGGAGGGACAGACGATGGACATCATCATCAGACACCAGACTCCAGCTGAACCCTCCTGGTTCTGGAGCCATGGAACCAGAACCAGGTGGGTTCAGCTGGAGTCTGGACCAGACTTGTTTGAATGTACTGATGTTGGACTCTGCTGGGTCGGATCAGAACATCAGTCTGGATCGGCAGGCCCTGTGGTTCTGTCCGACCCAAACTGCTGCTCAAACGGCTCATTTAATCTCCAGATCAGAACCAGGTTTAGGTGGATCCATCCACCAGAACACACCAGAACCAGAATCTACTGCAAGAGGAACAATAGTTTCCATGGCAACTAGCTCACCTGACAGAGCCTTTTGGAACCGGGATGAAGATGCTGACATTGATGGCAGAGCTGCAAGACAGTACAGGAGTGTCATCATCATCATCAGTAACAATCATTATCTTCATTAACCATCACCATGGAGACCCTCCTCCTCTTCCTCTCTAAACTCAGCTCCCTCTGACCTTTGACCTTCATCTGGGTCTCCAGAGAATGTTCTACTTCCTTCTGTTGCTTCTCTATCCTGACTTCCAACACGTCTCCTTTTCATAATCGGGACAAAGTCCAACACCGTCCCTGTCCATCTTTGGAAGCTCTCTCTATCCTGTCATCGACTTTCTTTCTCAGCTGTTTCAGGTCCAGGTTCTACTGCCTGATGACCATCCTGGTACCACCTCTGTGGGAAGATGAAGAGGGGCTGTGGGCTCCATCCTCAGCCTCACTTTGCTGGTTTCTGCTGACCCTTAGAAACAGGATGGGTCCAATCAGAAAGAACCAGGATGTTTCAAGTCAGAAGGAACCATGTTCGGTCCAGTCAGAAGGAACCAGGATGGGTCCAGATATTCTGATTCAGGACCTTCTGGTTCCTGTCAGGCTGATGGACAGAAACTTCACTCGATTGCTTTTTTTTTTTCTTCCCCAGAAAGGAACTAGGGCCGCCTCCTAGCAACCAGCAGTGCCGAGCCTGGAGCTGGTCCAGATGTTTGCATATGTCGCTCGTGCTGACGTGCTGCTGTACCTAGACTGATTTTCATGTGCAAATCAGGGCCAGACGGGCCGGGCTGGACTGGAACGGGCTGCAGCAGCCCAGTTCAATCAGCCCTGTTCTGACCCGCCCAGATCCAGCAGAACCGAAAAAAAAACAAACAAACATGAACCTTCAGACGGATCAAGCTGGGAACATCTAGACCCGTTTAAATGGATCCATCTGGAACCCAGACCATAACCTAGTACGCTCTATACCCTCTATATCTATCTGCAGCAGATCTGGCAGTCATGATGGAGGGTTCCACCAGAACTGGAGGTTCAGGTTCAAACGGACCTCTTTGGTGGAAGATCACAGCGGAGCTTCAGGTACATCAGGAGCCTGCAGAGAAGAAGAACAGAACCAATCAGAGAGCAGGAGACATGTTGGACACAGGAGAGGTTCTGGTTCTAGTTGACCGGGTCAGGGAGGGGGAACCACTTCAGCTCTGCTAGAACATATAAACTAGAATGAATAAACAGATCTTTGGTTGTTGTCTCTGTTCTTAGCCCAGTTTGTCTGCTTCTGGACCATGAATGCTCCATAGAACGTTCTGCTTTTCTGCATGGGGAACTAAAGAAAGATCTGTGGGTGTTCAGAACCCGGTACCAGCAATAGATCTGCAGCCTAAACAAGATGTGGATCCACTGATGGACCCAGAACCACCTTCCTCACAGTTCCTTCAGTTTCTCTTGAAGAACCAGATGTTCTAACTTCCTGTTTCTTCTGTACCAGCAGTTCTGGTTCTGAGGGCGGTACCAGCTCACCTTCCAGCAGGGTCCCTCTCTATGGTTGGGAAGAGGCGGAAAGGCAGCGGCGCCGGCAGCTCATCCCTCAGCTGGTACTGCATCACCGTTTGCTGCAGGAGGAGGAGGAGGAGTGAGGGAACAGCAGATGATGGAAGAACTAATCCAGAACCACGGATGGTTCCGTCACCTCTCCCTGTGTCGGACAGAGACGCAGGATCCTGTGGCTGTCGAACTCCTCCAGCTGGACCATCTGATGAAAGCTGCACTCATCGACCCGCACCGCTGCTCCGTATCCTGGACAGAACCAGAACCTTTTAGTGGGAAACTGGTTCTGACCCGGTCAAAAGACCAGGTGGGAGGAGCTTACCTCTGACTTGAGCCTTCCCTATGCAGAACTCCTCGTTCAGACCGATCCTCATCTCTGAGACAAACGACAGAGTGGGACAGATTCAGACTCACAACTGTCTCTCTGGTTCTAAGGGTTCTACTGTCTCTCTGGTTCTAATGGTTCTACTGTCTCTCTGGTTCTAATGGTTCTACTGTCTCTCTGGTTCTAATGGTTCTACTGTCTCTCTGGTTCTAAGGTTTCTACTGT